ATATATATATATATATATATATATATAAGGTTTTAGCTACAAAGTATATGGAATGCAATGACTTTGAAGCTCAATATCTCAGAATCAGTCAGAATGCAGATAGAACCTTATAGTTCCAAGGTGGCAATGTCACATTGGCAGTTTTCATCTAAACAGCAATGGTCTATTTTTAATGTGCTGGATAAGTTCTCTGTATATTGTGCTATCAATTTGTTTTTGGAAGAAAAGAAAGGTCTTATTCAGACATTTAAGCCAGCAAGTTTCCTTCCTCATCTGTTAATCTAGTTTTGTTAAAGGTTATTTTGGGTGGGGTATTTCAGATATTGCATTTAAAATGTGGAGCTAAGCGGAGCTAAAAGGCGTAGTGTTCATTTATTAGGCAATAGAGGGCAGTGCATACCGCATGAAACCTGCAGTACTGAGCACAGGAGGGCAGTGCAGTATGTCATTAACTAGGAATTTTCACAGCGTATGTGTATTACTAAAAAGCTTTTACATCTGCATTTACACTTGTTACAAAAGCACATGTGTGATTCAGATAGGTTTGTTCTAATCTGCTGCTTTTTCTGATTTGCCTAATGATAATAAACAGCAGTGCAGAATGGCATGAGGATGTTGACACTGCTCTCCCTGTTTACAGTGGCACAGACAGTGGATGTGTAATGCTTGCTGAGCTGCCTAGGCGTAGTTGCAAAAGCCCTTTCCATACTGGTCACCACTCCCTGGATCGGCTCAGACGATGTCTGATGTGAAACACCCACAGAACTTCACCATGAATGGGAATCCCCCTCCCCCTGAGTTCAAGAACCCCAAAAAGCCTGGGCGCCTCACCAATCAGTTGCAGTTCCTAGAAAAAGTGGTGATTAAGTCCCTGTGGAGACATCAATTCTCCTGGCCTTTCAGACAGCCTGTGGATGCAGTCCGACTCAATTTGCCAGTAAGTCTCACCATGCTCTGTCATTTAAAGTTGTTTTACTGATTATACAGTTTGTAGGTGCAAACCTTTATTAACCATGGTTTTAAAATGTGCTTGCTCAAGGTTATTGATGATCTCAATATTTCCACTTTTATCTTTAGGACTATTATACAATCATCAAGAACCCTATGGACTTGAGCACCATTAAAAAGCGTCTTGATAACAATTACTACTGGAAGGCAATGGAGTGTATAGAAGACTTCAACACCATGTTCACAAACTGTTACGTGTACAATCGGGTGAGGGTGCTGCTCTCGTTTTGTGTAATGTTACTAAAAATTGAAGATTTGAAATGCAACATTTGGTTTCAGCCAGGAGATGATATTGTTCGGATGGCTCAAGCTCTTGAGAAGCATTTCTTGGAGAAGATGGCAAAGATGCCTCCAGAGGAGTTTGAGATCTCTGCTCTGACATCTAAAGCTCCAGTGAAAGGAGGAAGGAAGTCAACAGCAGGTATTCAGGTCATCTAAATTAAATAATGGCAAATTACTACGTTTCAGGTTTTTGCATTGTGTTTGGCAGTGGAGAGTGGAAATGACATTAACTTTTGCCTATTTTTGCAGTGTTAAAGAGGCCACAGTCTCCTGTGTCTGAGGTGGTTTTCCAACAAACAGTGACCGTCATCCGTCCAGATGCTCTTCACACAATTCCCTCTGCTCCCCTGTCTGCACAACTCACAGCCAAAGTCAGTACCTCTCAAACCACATGCACTTGCACTTTTAACTCGTGTCTCAGCAGTATCATAAGTGTCTTGCACCAAGTGAACTCGAATGATATTACTCATTGTACACCTGGTAATTACAGTTATTTGATAGGAACATCCTATTTTTTTCCTGAATTTCACAAAGCATGTGATAAAATGCTAAATAAATAAGAATAACAGGTCTCATTGGCACCAGTAGTGTGGTGGGAAGCACTTTAGCCAACTCAAGTTTGAGGGTGTACTCACACTAGGCACGGTTGCCTTGAACCGAGCTCGAGCGCGATTATCCCAATTATACAGAATGACAGCGACAGAACAAAAACACAGCTCTGGTGAAACGGATTGCAGGGATATAACTAAAGACAGGACAAACGAACAAAAACAACTGCAGAGCATGCCACGGGGGCCGCCATCATCATCGGCGCCATCTTATCAATATAATTCATTAAATTAAATTAATTGAAAAGTGTAGTGAAGTAGTAGAAATAGATTTGGTTTGCGGTCGTAATGATGACAGTAGCGCACACAAAATAGTATCTGTTCCATGCTCCGGCACGGTTAGCGCTCACACTGCATGCGTACCGAGCCCAACCGAACCGTGCCCTGGCCTACCTCTTCCAACCGGGCCAGGGCCGGCTAAACGAACGCGGCATGGAGCGCTCACACAAGTCAAACGAACCGGGCTTTGGGGGTCAAATGCGCTCGGGCGCGGTTCAAAAGGCCTAGTGTGTGAGTACACCCTGAGTACCATCTCGTGGACCTTTCCAATTCCATTACCCACTTTCTGTCAAATCTCTGTAATGTTCTTATATATATATATATATATATATATATAAGGTTTTAGCTACAAAGTATATGGAATGCAATGACTTTGAAGCTCAATATCTCAGAACTCCTCAGAATGCAGATAGAACCTTATAGTTCCAAGGTGGCAATGTCACATTGGCAGTTTTCATCTAAACAGCAATGGTCTATTTTTAATGTGCTGGATAAGTTCTCTGTATATTGTGCTATCAATTTGTTTTTGGAAGAAAAGAAAGGTCTTATTCAGACATTTAAGCCAGCAAGTTTCCTTCCTCATCTGTTAATCTAGTTTTGTTAAAGGTTATTTTGGGTGGGGTATTTCAGATATTGCATTTAAAATGTGGAGCTAAGCGGAGCTAAAAGGCGTAGTGTTCATTTATTAGGCAATAGAGGGCAGTGCATACCGCATGAAACCTGCAGTACTGAGCACAGGAGGGCAGTGCAGTATGTCATTAACTAGGAATTTTCACAGCGTATGTGTATTACTAAAAAGCTTTTACATCTGCATTTACACTTGTTACAAAAGCACATGTGTGATTCAGATAGGTTTGTTCTAATCTGCTGCTTTTTCTGATTTGCCTAATGATAATAAACAGCAGTGCAGAATGGCATGAGGATGTTGACACTGCTCTCCCTGTTTACAGTGGCACAGACAGTGGATGTGTAATGCTTGCTGAGCTGCCTAGGCGTAGTTGCAAAAGCCCTTTCCATACTGGTCACCACTCCCTGGATCGGCTCAGACGATGTCTGATGTGAAACACCCACAGAACTTCACCATGAATGGGAATCCCCCTCCCCCTGAGTTCAAGAACCCCAAAAAGCCTGGGCGCCTCACCAATCAGTTGCAGTTCCTAGAAAAAGTGGTGATTAAGTCCCTGTGGAGACATCAATTCTCCTGGCCTTTCAGACAGCCTGTGGATGCAGTCCGACTCAATTTGCCAGTAAGTCTCACCATGCTCTGTCATTTAAAGTTGTTTTACTGATTATACAGTTTGTAGGTGCAAACCTTTATTAACCATGGTTTTAAAATGTGCTTGCTCAAGGTTATTGATGATCTCAATATTTCCACTTTTATCTTTAGGACTATTATACAATCATCAAGAACCCTATGGACTTGAGCACCATTAAAAAGCGTCTTGATAACAATTACTACTGGAAGGCAATGGAGTGTATAGAAGACTTCAACACCATGTTCACAAACTGTTACGTGTACAATCGGGTGAGGGTGCTGCTCTCGTTTTGTGTAATGTTACTAAAAATTGAAGATTTGAAATGCAACATTTGGTTTCAGCCAGGAGATGATATTGTTCGGATGGCTCAAGCTCTTGAGAAGCATTTCTTGGAGAAGATGGCAAAGATGCCTCCAGAGGAGTTTGAGATCTCTGCTCTGACATCTAAAGCTCCAGTGAAAGGAGGAAGGAAGTCAACAGCAGGTATTCAGGTCATCTAAATTAAATAATGGCAAATTACTACGTTTCAGGTTTTTGCATTGTGTTTGGCAGTGGAGAGTGGAAATGACATTAACTTTTGCCTATTTTTGCAGTGTTAAAGAGGCCACAGTCTCCTGTGTCTGAGGTGGTTTTCCAACAAACAGTGACCGTCATCCGTCCAGATGCTCTTCACACAATTCCCTCTGCTCCCCTGTCTGCACAACTCACAGCCAAAGTCAGTACCTCTCAAACCACATGCACTTGCACTTTTAACTCGTGTCTCAGCAGTATCATAAGTGTCTTGCACCAAGTGAACTCGAATGATATTACTCATTGTACACCTGGTAATTACAGTTATTTGATAGGAACATCCTATTTTTTTCCTGAATTTCACAAAGCATGTGATAAAATGCTAAATAAATAAGAATAACAGGTCTCATTGGCACCAGTAGTGTGGTGGGAAGCACTTTAGCCAACTCAAGTTTGAGGGTGTACTCACACTAGGCACGGTTGCCTTGAACCGAGCTCGAGCGCGATTATCCCAATTATACAGAATGACAGCGACAGAACAAAAACACAGCTCTGGTGAAACGGATTGCAGGGATATAACTAAAGACAGGACAAACGAACAAAAACAACTGCAGAGCATGCCACGGGGGCCGCCATCATCATCGGCGCCATCTTATCAATATAATTCATTAAATTAAATTAATTGAAAAGTGTAGTGAAGTAGTAGAAATAGAATATGTTTGCGGTCGTAATGATGACAGTAGCGCACACAAAATAGTATCTGTTCCATGCTCCGGCACGGTTAGCGCTCACACTGCATGCGTACCGAGCCCAACCGAACCGTGCCCTGGCCTACCTCTTCCAACCGGGCCAGGGCCGGCTAAACGAACGCGGCATGGAGCGCTCACACAAGTCAAACGAACCGGGCTTTGGGGGTCAAATGCGCTCGGGCGCGGTTCAAAAGGCCTAGTGTGTGAGTACACCCTGAGTACCATCTCGTGGACCTTTCCAATTCCATTACCCACTTTCTGTCAAATCTCTGTAATGTTCTTTAGGAATAAAGGCAAATAACGGGTCTCATTCACTGTCCATGCATACTCACAAATTTGTGCGTGAAATCTGTGTACAAGTGTTGTCACAAACAAATCATTCTTTAATCAATAACTTTTGTAATAAAATGTATTATAAATTAACAAAAAATGTAGAGACAGTTGAAACCACACAAGCTAAAATTACATTATCCTGTGAACTTGTAAACATGTTCACATAAAATTTTATATACTGATAAGTAGTGGTGCAACGGATCAAAAAACTCACGGTTCGGATCATATTATGGATTTTGAGTCACGGATCAGATAATTTTTTGGATCAGCAAAAAAAATTCTGAAAGCTTATTTTAAGTACTATACCACAGCAAAAACTACTATCTTAACTAATAAAGTCAGTAAAAAACAAGAACAATTACACAAATTAGATGATTACAACATAACAGTTACAAATAAAGTCAGTAAAGTAGTATTCAGGTGCAGATATGTAATAATTAAGTGTAAAATTACACAATAGTGCTCACCGCACAAGTTAAATGCAGATTAATCTCCGTTAAAGCTGTGGTGTTATTTGATTAGCAGACAGAAGCAGGTATTTATTGGCTGCTGTCTCTTTAAGACCAAGCGCACGGACCTAATACTGACACACATCCGGTTTCTTTCGCAGCTGTTTA